GCCGCTGGTTTCAGAACTCTGTATGGAAGTAAATTACACACAAAAATTTTACTTATTAGTAGGATATACGAGTAATTCATATAAAAGCATAATTCTGTTAAATTTATAAAACTTACATTAATAAGACAATAACATCTAACATTTCGTTCATTGTTTACGCATAGAAATACGAAGCCGATTCTTCAGCCGTCCGGGAAATCCCCATCGTGATTCGATCAGATCATATATGGATCAGATATGATCCATTTTTTTTTCGACTCCAGACGAGTATTTCATTCATCCACTCATCGATAGGTGGAGCGATACGCTCAAAAATAAGCTAATTTGACGATCGTGGCCAGTCTCGGCCGTGGCCAATAATCTCGGCTTTTGTGCCGAGAACGATACCGAGATCTCGGCCTGATTTTTAGCCGAGAATGACTGTAACCGAGACCGAGACCCAGATCTCGGTTGGACCTTACTATTGTAGCTCAGTTCTACAAACTTTAAATTTCACCCTCAAGACCCAACCTTTTAATATCTGAGGGTGATATGTCACCAAGGTCTGAAAAGTGTAGTAAAGTTTCTCCAAACAACTGAATCCTAGTCCTACGCCCAGCGGGCAGGTTCACATAACGTGCTTCATAGTTATGTAACTTTCAATTAGGGACTTAATGGGAAATAATATTATTAATTAATAGGAATTAATTAATATTCTTTCCTAGAATTATTAATAATAAAAAACAATAATTTCTTAGAAAAATTAATAGGAAATCATAGGAAGAACTTCAATAGGAAACTACCGCGGAATTTCACTACTAGCTATCGGAGGATATGTCCTAGCTCCTCTCCTATTCAATATATTCATGGCAGCACTCTCTATTATAGTGGACAGCAAACTGCAGGAAAGAGGAATGGGTGTTAGATACAGGCATGACGGCAGTGTGTTCAACATAAAAAGACTCAGGGCAAAAACACGTATAAAATACATCACAGAACTTCAATACGCTGATGACTGCGCTCTTGTTGCAAAAAAGTTACAGCAATTACAAGAAATGCTGAACACATACACATATACCTGGACATAAGAGGCTTTGGGCCTTAAGCTAAACATCGATAAAACTAAAATCATATTCACTCCCACTGAATATCATAACTTCAAATTCATTTCGAAAGAATTCAATTACCTCGGCATCGCCAGTTTGATTTAGCAAAAGGCCAATATCGACTCTGAAATTCAGCACAGAATTAGCAGCGCCTCAAGAGCATTCTAGAAATTAAAAGACAGGGTTTTCTACAATCATGACTTGAGCACAAAAACGAAACTAGCAGTGTATCGAGCAATAATAATCCCCTCCATGTTATATGGAAGCGAAATCTGGGTGCCGTACCGCCGACACGAACGCATTAAACAAGTTGCAAAAGAGACACCTTAGACAAGTGTTAAGAATCAAATGGTACCGCCATGTCTCAAACGTATCAGTCCTTGAAAAAGCTGGTTGCCAGAGCGCTGAAGTCATGATTACTAAATACCGCTTAAGATGGGCTGGCCACGTATACAAGATGCAAGAAAACCGCCTACCGAAATCTCTTCTTTATAGTGGTGCTTCTTTATATAGTGAAATTGTAGACGGTAAACGGAAACCAGGTGGACAACTCCAAATATACAAGGATATTTTCCATGAAAACTTAAAGAGGATAAGCATGTAGAAGCAGTGGGAGGAAGCAGCGCACGATAGAACACAATGGAGAAGAAGAACCAAAAAGTAAAGAGGCAACAAAGTAATGAGATTTTTGAATGTCGCGAGTGCGGAAGAAAGATAACATCACATATCGGGCTTTTCAGTCACAGAAAAGCTCATGAAAGAAAACGCCTTATATAACCATTTTCTGATGCGTATCAAGTACTCGTCAACGAGTAATGGCAGTAAGTAAGTAAGGTTCTGTACACGGAATAAATGTAAATTAGAAGAATTAATTCTCTGGTAAAATGAAATAGAATAAAAATTAAATCAGTTGAAAAAAGTTGAATACGAACAAAATAAAATAAAAATAATAGACTAGAAAACTTTTCCCCTCTACAAAACGGGGGAAAGAAAATTTCCGTCCTAAGCAAATTTAAACGATTCCGTCCTCTAAAGACTAAATAATTCAAGATAATTCCGTCGGCGCTGAGCGTCGCGGTACGCGAATCGTCCCATTTAATGAGGCATATATCATGAGGGGGCCGCGCGCCCCCCTTTGATGGCCCGTATATCAAGGCCGTGACACGCAGAAACAATAACTCAGCCGCTTTACGGCCCCGATAGACAGCGGAGAGCCGAGATAAGGGCCAGCGTGCGCGCGGCTTTGTCAAACTTTAATCTAAAGCCGCTAGATGGCTGACGCGCCTTTTAATTTACGTTTAATAGAAAAGAAAATTCGACCGCGCCACGGAAAATGGCCCTGTTTTCTAAGCGGGGAAAGGATGAAAGGTTTTTTTGTGCCTTCAAGATGCTTATAACGACGACACTTGCAAGTATTGTTTAGTTAGGTTAGGTGGTAAAGCTTTAGTTAATATGAGGTTAATTTAAATTATTAGAAATTAAAGTTTTTTCGTTAAAAGGCGCGAATATATTCTCATAGGTATAACAGCATTAAAGAATCTAGACCTATGGGAGGCAACAGGTAAGCATTCAAAAAGTATGTGTCTCATTGACATTAAGTTATTGCATAAGGTGCATTTCGGAGGGGGCTATATATATATAAACGGGATTTGGTTTAAGTATTTAATACTCATTTCCAACTACAGCCTATTGCTGCCTTCCCGTTACCCTACGCCACACATCTCGATTTAGAGCGTCATCAGCTTCTAGGTTACGAGCTTCCATTGCTTCCGTAACCGTTCCTTTCCAGGATTTTCTAGGTCTACCTCTCTTTCTTCTGCCCTGGGGAGCCCATTGAAAAACTCTTTTTTGGCCACCTGTTCTCCGGCATACGCAGAACATGTCCAAACCATTTTAAGCTGGATTTTTCGATTCGATCCAGTACTGTCTCCTCCGATGCATTCATGATACGCCTGACCTCGATGTTTGTCTTTTTTTCCATCCTAGATATACCTGCACTTTTTCTAAGGTAGTCCATTTCAACAACTTGGATTTTGCGCTTCGCGTCTGCACTCAGAGTCCACAGCTCTGAACCATAGCAAAGAACTGACTCCACCAATGTTCTTCCAAGTCTCTTTTTAGTTGTTGCAGATAAGTTTCGGTCCCACCAGAGGCTGTTAAGACATCCAATAACTTGTTTGCTCTTCTGAATTCGGTTTGTATTTCTTCTTTGCCCAAACCCTCGTTGTTGATAGTAGCACCCAGGTATTTAAATTTGTCTACTTGTTGAATCTGGACGTTATCATTAATGAAGACTTCAAAACAAGTGTTGGAATTGACAGCTAAGTATTCGGTCTTCTTTAGACTAACCTGAAGTCCCCATTTGTTGTATACTTGATAAAGCCTCTTAGTCATGAACTCTAGATCGTATGAGTCCTGCGCAATCACGACCTGATCGTCTGCAAAGCTCAGGGTAAATAGTGTGTTGTCCCCAATGGGTATTCCCATACCTTGATATTTCGTCTTCCATTCCCTAAGGGCTAATTCGACGTAAGCGTTGAAGATCAGAGGAGATAAGCTGCATCCTTGTCGCAACCCTTTTGTGGTGTTAATTGGATTAGATAGCCTGTGTCCTATCTTAACGTACGATTCATTTTCTTTATATAGCTATTTTATTATCTTAAGCAAAGGTCTATCTACTTCTAAGATATTCAATACTTCCCATATCTTGCTGCGGGGAATAGAGTCGTACGCTTTCTCCAAATCAATAAATGCTAGATGGACTTCTTGATCTACTGCTATCTTTTTTCCATCACCTGCTGCAGGACAAAAAGGTTATTTGTGCAAGATTTCCCCGGTGTGAATCCGCTTTGGTCTTCCGAGATTTTGTCACCAATACTGTCCCTGAGCCTACCCTGTAACACCTTTCCAAAAAGTCTGTTGACCGAACTGTTAATGCTTAGGCCTCTATAACAAGTGGGGTCGTTACGATTTCCCTTTTTAAAGATGGACACTATGTGAGCCACTCGCCATTCTCGGGGTAGTTTACTTTGCAGGCAGCATTGGTTAAATAGCTCTGCCAGACGCCAGCGTAGTCTTTGGGTTCCACACTTTAACAATTCGGCTACAATATTACCAGGACCTGGTGACCGTCCATTTTTCATTCTTTTGAAACTTTGATGTACTTCTCTTTTGCTTATCATTAAAGTGCCTGCAAGGTTGTTCTCATCTTCTACTGCTTGGAATTCTGGTCGGTTTTCTGTCAGTAATTCTGCATAGTAGTTGCGCCATTTTTCTATATCCATTCTATTCAAGAGCTTGTCCGTTTGATTGGTTTTCATTTGTCGGATTGTTCTCCATACCTCAGTACTCCGTGCGCTCCCTATTAGGCTTTCCACTTGCTGGCACCTTCTTTCCCAAATATCTATTTTTCCTACCTTAATGGCGGCTCGTACCTCTCTATTTTTTTGCTTGTAATGACTCCAGTTAGTATCTGTTCGGTCTGAGAGCCATCTTTGATAGAATTTTTGTTTGTCATTGATTAAGGCCTTTATGCTGTCAGTTATCCAAGCTGGTTCATGTTCTGTTCACCTAAAACTTCGAAAGCTACTTTTTTAATTAGGGTTTTTAGGTTGGTATACTCTAGTTCTACATCGTTACAGGCTTTCACTTCCTCTAGGGCTACATCTAATCTTCTCTGGTACAACCATTTAATACTGGCATCGTGTAGTAAATGAAGCTTGTACTTAATACGCTCAGATTCTTCAATTTCCAGTTCTTGTGATGTTGGGTATTCGATACTTTTGGCTCTGCTCTGGAAAGGTACTACTAATTCTGCAACGACCAGACGGTGGTCGGATCCACAATTTGCTCCTCTCTTAACTCCGCAGTCTTTGAATTTGAGTTTCGATATTTGTTTAGCAATCATATAATCAATTATAGATTTTTGTTGCAGAGAGGCCTTTCTCGGGTATATCGATGAATTAATTTGTGTGGGAAGAAGCCGTTAAGTATACGTAGACCATTCAGTTCGCAAAAGTCAATTAACCTCTCTCCAGAATCATTAAGGACGTCCTCACCGTGTTTTCCAACCACTTTACTATCTTCTTTCTTACCAATTCTTGCGTTAAGGTCTCCCATGATTAAGACTTCCTGGCTCGGTTTTATTTCTGTGAGGACTTTCGAGAGTGCAGCATAATAAGAGTCTTTTTCCGCTTGGTTTGAATCATCTGTGGGCGCATAAGTACCTATTATTACGGTTTCCAATCCGAAAATGGTCAAGGTGACAGTTACTATTCTTTCGTTGACAGCGTTGTAATTCTTGTAAAATTTAGATAATTTTTTCGCAATCAGTACCGATACTCCAGCTTGAGCTCGTTTTGCCTTATCTATCCCAGACCAGAAGTGAAGGAAGTTGTCGAGATGTTCACTTCCTCTCCCTTTCTTCTTCGTTTCAGAAAGAACAACTATATCTAGGTTGAACCTAGCCATCTCTGATGTAACTTCCGAGGTCTTGTTGACAAAGCTGTTGACATTCCAAGTTCCTATTCGCATAGTCCGTTTCGTAGCCAGTTGTCGTCGTAAAGAATATCTGTCCGAATTCCGAGGCGTGTTTAGGGTTCTTTGAGCAATTAAGTTTTTTTCCGAGTAACAGGTCGCTAGCCCGTTGCCTCAACCCCCAACCTGGAGGACCAGGGGCCTTTCTGTAGGGATGCCCATCCTTAGCCGAGAGAACCGGTTTTGAGGCGCCGGAATCTCGCCTTCGCCCTATTCCTGTTAGCTGCATAACACCCATCCATTGGATGCCATACATTACCAGTGGTCACGCGGCTCTCATGAGCCTTCGAGGACGTAGGAAATAGGACTTGCTGGCAGAGCTTATGAAACAGTGGACATTTCTCAGTTTTTGATGAAATACTCCTACTCGACATTGGAGTATCTCCTTGAGATCCGTTACCAGCCTTCGACCACCTCGGAGGGGGCTCATTTCTGATAATGTATGATTTGGTTGGATACAGTGTCCTGTGAAAGGGTTCCAACAACTTTACAGAAAGATCGGCGTTCAAGAGAATATACTTATATTTTGATACAGATGAAGAAGTGGCATATGTGATCTAAGTTTATTAGTTCCCTCGACGATGTCCCATTCATTTTATAGTATACTGAAGAACACTATTTTGTGGAAATATCTGAAATCGACAACGGATGGAGTTCCTTCAATATTCTGTAAGAGCGTTGCCTCGTTAACCAGTTTGTCTGCTCGGTCGTTACCAGCAATGTTAGAGTGTCCAGGAATCCACATAAAGTTAACATTGTAGTTTCTTTCAGTAAGTTTAAATACTAGATTTTGAATGCTGCAGGTTAGAGAGTTTTTGGAGTTTAAAGAAGCAATACTGTTGAGGGAACTAAGTGAATCCGATAGTATTAATGCTTCAATCGGTGACATGCTCCGAATTTGGATAAGAGCCTGATAAATAGCTGCGAGTTCGGCTGTTAAAATGCCAGAGCAATTAGGTAATCTGATTTTTTTATTAGCAACCGGGCTGTAAAAAAGCACAGCCAACACCTTGGTCAGATTTCGAGCCATCTGTGTAAAAACAAATTTAGTCACGATATTAGATTAGACAATGATGAATGTTCAATTAAAATGTACTCATGGACTGGCATCGTCTTTAATGGGCTTCAGGGAACACAGCCGCTGATTTTGACTTTAGCTACGACAAAAAGAAACAGCAACTTTCATAGGGGATAAATATATTTAAAGAAAATATTAAATGGTTGATTATACAGGGTGTCCCAATATTCCGGGGACATAGAGCTACTACGTATTTTTGGTATCAAAATATATTCATTGAACCCAATTTACCTCTATACAAATGTGATTCGTTTGTTCGCTACAGAGCATCAAACTTTAAAAAAATAAACACATTTTTTTAAATATTTTAAGAACCGTTCGTTATTCCGATTTGAATGAGATTTTGGGTTTGGGTGCCGCCTATGTTTTGCTAAGTGCTTTAACATTTGACTTTCACAAAAATTAAGAAAATGTACGGGAAGGGTAAAAACTACTCCCATCACTACATAAATTTTAGTATAAATATTTTCCAACTCCACCGACCACTGATTTTTTTACGTAGAACGGTACTCTTAGTTCTCTGTGGTCCATTGGTGTAGTATGTCTCTGTAGTATTTACTACATATTTCCTCTCTCGTAAAAAAACGCCACATCGTATAGTTTTTGAGAAAACACTTTTTGGATAATTTATTCTGTATATTAACGATACGAACTACATGTGTTTACTATATACGAACTATGAACGTTTACGAATTACAGGAAGGTTTACACTTATTCTTGACTATGCCACAATGCTTTGGAGTGAAAAAAAAATAGTAATGAAACTAAGAGAATTTCGGACTTCCATTGTCTTTTTTTATTAACACAACGTTTCGATCAGAAGGATCACTGACCGTTATCAAGTGTAAACTAAACTAATTCCTAAAACTACTGAGCTTTTATACTACAGCCAGGCATTCATTCGTGAAGAAATTGGGTGCAGTCAACCGTGAGGTTTTCCACTAGAATTCCTGCAAAAAACTTGTTATTGTCTGCAATAAATTGGCTTCTTTAAATTTACGCTTTCTCCAATGAGATTCCCTGTAGAGACCCGAGCTTCTGACCACATATTGTGCTGTTTTGACCAAACATGGTCCGCAATACCTGACTTCATTGTTTCACCTTTTTGTACATTTTTTGTGCTCGCTAAATCGTACATTTAGAGGACGTTTAGTCTCAATCCACCAATCACCGCATTCACAAGGTACCTGGTAGCTGCACTCTTTCTGTCAGTGATCCTTTTGATCGAAACGTTGTGTTAATCAAAAAAATTAAACAAATAAAGACAATGGAAGTCCCAAATTCTTTTAGTTTTAATACTGAATCATTGTCTACCACATTCAAAGAAACTTAGTAAATTGAGACATGGTTTTAACAATTGAAGTATATGCGTTTAAATGTAAAAAACTAATATAATGTCTTTCAAGTGTGATATTTCCAATATCAATATTGAAAATTACACATATTAGCCGGAAGACAGAAAGGTGAATAGATTCTTAGGGATATTCCTGGATAGCAGGTTAAAATTTGAGGCCCATTGGATAAAGAAACAACTAGGGGGCCTATTAATCTCAGAAGTTTACCTTGAAATATCTTTACAAAAAACACAGATTTACATATAAATCACACCCTAAAAACTTTTAAGGAATCGCTTACGTAGAAAAACCCAAAAAAAATTCTGCTGTTTTATCATCCCGAATGGACGGTGGCCAAGCTTTGCTGCCAATTTGACAAAGCTTCTATGAAATATCCGAAGGCCCGGCGAAAAAATCGGCCAATTAAAGAAAGGGACAATGATTAAACTTTTGAGGAAGAATGAGAAATGGCAGTCGCAAGCAGCTCCTCGACCACACATTCGTGTCTTGGCCGGGCGACTCAGTCAAAGTGTCCTTGCCGTCGGATCCGCGCCTCTCGCAGATTTGTATGCGGTGCCGAAACAAACGACCTGTTTTGTTGCGCCGAATTCGTCCATTTCTTTCGGATCAGCGTCGTCGAAACCTTTAACGAAGAAAATAATGGGGAGTGTGAAGGCGCAGAGCAGTTTAAGGGATGCTCTCTTATTTCCTATCAAAGGGTTGAAGGGTCATTTTTTAATTGAACATTTAAAGGGCATCTCTATAAAATATGAGAAACCATGTACTATGATACTAATAATGAAACATTGTAGGTTTAGTTGAGTTTTATTTTTTTTAAATATATCTAGTCCACTTAACCACACTACATGAGATAAGTGGTTTACTCGATTAAAACGGTCCTCTAAAATATATTTGGCAAAAATGATAAATCTTTAGAAAACCAATTGAATTTGAAAATGTTATTCATATTAGAAGATACGCGGAGCAAAGAGCTTCAGTAAAAACTCCATCTGGTCCTCTTTCTGACTATTTTTGCTTCGTTTCATGTTGACCCTATTTGTTGGAACTCATCATGTTTCAAGTGATCGGCCTTGTTTTTTTTTGCATTGGAAGTTTCTTCCTAACGCTGCTTTCGCTATGTTACCATCAGGCTTCCACAACGTGTGACCTATCCATCCCCATTTTTGTTTCGAATCTCAATGCCTACTTCTTGATTTGTAAGATAAAGCAAGTGAGTGTTACGTATTATGTCCAGCCAAGATATTCTTGAAGCAGCGATTGATAAATACCTTGTTGACGGTTAGTAGATGTTTTTGTTACTCTCCTTGTCTCACAATCATATAGTAGTATTGGTTTGATGTTAGAATTGAAGATTCTTAGTAAGTTCGTGTGGAGAGTTGACGGGAGGTGCAAATTGATTTTAGTTAGCCAAAGCCTTGCTGCACCTTCCTGACTCTGCTAACAATATCCGCATCTGCGCCCAAGAACGGTAAACTAATAGGATTGCTCATCCTCATAAGACGTACGTTCGCCTCTTCCCGCGCTTCAGCTGATAGTTGTGACGTCATTGTAGCCCTTGTCAAAGCCTTCGTGGCCTTGTCATGATAGTGTGTATTATTAGTTGCCTATGGTAAACTTATAAAAATAACAGCTGAGAAATTTTGAGTTATTTATTTTGTCAATTTTAAATGTGAAAAGGTGTCTTTAAAGTTTTTAGAGCTATAGAGTGTATAAATACGTTCATTTTGTGTTGTGGATTGTGACAAAGTGCATACTAAGTGCCCACGATTTTGTTTATTAATTATTTTAAAGCAAAATATGGAAGTACTCTAAAAAGAATGCTTGCAAAAGGTGATGCTGGGAACTGCTGTTCTTAAAAATGCATTATTCGAGTATTTAATACGATTTATACAGTTAATTTTCTATACTGCATACATATAAGGTGTTTAAATAAATAAACTAAATAATGAACGTTTTGTATTCGGTAACCAATAATGCACGGGTGTGTATTATTGGTTGCCGGATAAGGACTAATAACCATGACAAGGGCTACAATGACATCACAAAGCGAGTAGTTTTCGCATGCAGCTGGCGGACACTTTTGGCTGAATGAGCAGTCCTATTAGGTTAACTGTTCTTAATCTGCGCCGCCGTTTGCTGTTACAATGCTTTTTTTACAAGGTAAGTAAACTCTATTACGTTCTCTACATTTTAGTTTCCAACATTAAATTAAGTGCAGTTATTAGCGTTGGTGCGCATTGGTATTGTTTTGAACCTTTGAAAGATTATGCATCAGCATAATCAAGATCCGTCAGATGCGATGTCAGAGTTTATTGTATCCCGACGCTATCGAGTACGATGTTAAATAAAAGCGGCGATAAACTGCAACCCTGCTTTGCTCGTATCCTCAAGTTAAAACTGTCGCTGGTTCTACCGCTGTGCAGAGCATTGCATTCTGTTTCTATAGAGTTCTTTGATGATGCTGACAAGTCTATCTGGAACACCTTTTTGTTTTAGAGCTTTCAACACTATCGAATAGCAAATAATGTCAAAATTTTTTACGAAGTCTACGAATAGTAAGTATA